GCAACGGGGGGCGTGAACTGGGGCTGGGCGGGGTAATACGCCCCAGCTGGAAACAAAAATGGCACAAACGTCTCAGACTTTCTCAAAATGACGAGCTGTCAGTGATTCTTAGCCTGGTAAACACGCACACACACACACATACAGCACCCTCCTTTAGCAAACACACAATCTGTCACAGCCGAATTTATATTTGAACTGCACACCCTCCAAAAACAGCCGCTGCTCTCATCTGCATACGCACTGGTGGTCTGTACAATAGAGTTTTTTGTCATTTCAAATCAGTTTGCTGTTAAATACAGCAGCTCTTCTCCATATTACAACAGCTCACAGTGATCACAACTGTCGAGGCTCCAAAAATGGTAAAAGTAGTTAATTTCAAGTCTTCTAAAGATATATGTGACCCTGGAGCACAAAACCAGTCATAAGGGTCAATTTTTTCGAAATTGAGATTTATACATCATCTGAAAGCTGAATAAATAATATTTTCATTGATGTATGGTTTGTTAGGATAGGACAATATTTGGCCGAGATACAACTATTTGAAAATCTGGAATCTGAGGGTGCAAAACAATCTAAATATTGAGAAAATCATCTTTAAAGTTGTCCAAATGAAGTTCTTAGCAATGCATATTACTAATCAAACATTAAGTTTTGATATATTTACAGTAGGACATTTACTAAATATCTTCATGGAACATGATCTTTACTTAATATCCTAATGATTTTTGGCATAAAAGAAAAATGGATAATTTTGACCCATACAATGTATTGTTGGCTATTGCTACAAATATACCCCAGCGACTTAACACTGCTTTTGTGCTCCAGGGACACGAATGTGGATTTACTGCTTCCTGTCTCCATACGTACCGTAATCAGCTGGACTTGTTCCGGGATAGAAACCAGGAGAACCGGCCACCTGATACTGCTGAGGAGTCACATATGAGGGACGGTACTGAGAGAGAGAGAGAGAGAGAGAGAGACTGACTCATCAAAAACCATGACTGTCCCGTTTCAGGCCATTTTTCCATCCACCCAACAATCCTACCCCTTTTTAGAGTTGCACAATTAGGAACGGTACAGAGTTTAGAAAGGGGAGGAGTCAGCAGAATCAATACACTGAGAGTGCGTGTGTGTGTGTGCGCAGAACGTCCTGTGCTAGGGTATTATCGTTAACAAACTAAAAATGAATACCGTTTGTTCAATTTTTATTTTTCTGGATTCCGTTTTTTTATTTTTTTTATTTTAATTCTTCTGGACTCCTTTTTAATGGTTCAATTAAATTGAAAGCTTGTTGTTTGCTTGTCTAATTAAAATCATTCAAATTATTCAATTTCACATCAATTTATTAAAAGTTTAACAAAAACTACATGCTTAGGGCCCTATGAAATGTTTTATTTTTTCTCACCATATGTTTTATTGTTCCCAAATTCTGTGCTTTAGCATGTCTAATCATTTGAATGTATAAAAACAACTTAATTTATTCAAATTTATACTTAAAATAGCCTTATGAAATGTTTTTTTCCCCCCTCAGAAATTCTGTGTTGTGCGTTTACATTTTTCTGGTTATCAAATGAAGGCATAACACATTAATTTTGTCTATCTTTTAATTATTGAAAATTAAACAAACTTTTTTTTGCAAACAAAGGGGATTTACATGTTTAAAGTTAAAACATGGAATAAATGTTGTGTGGTTATTCCTTAAAAAATACAGTTTTAATAATTTTAGTAGTAGTAGTAATAGTAATAGAAGTAGCTTAATATGTACATTCTACTGAACAATAGTAATATATCTCTGGCACAATGTCTTCAAGTAAAACCGAACTTTTATTTTGAGGAGTTGCCTTGAAAACCTTTACATTTCTGTGTGTATATGATATGAGGCTAGTTTTACTCAAATCATATGGTAAAATGCTCGTGAAGTGACTCTCAGAACAGTTCTGGAGATTGTTCATGTATTATGTATTTATGTGCGTCACGCGTGCTTCAGTATGTGTGTAGTAAACGAAACCGTTCGTTAAATGGTCTTTTTGTGGCTTAATATTTACAGATACTAGTCCATATCGTGATCTGATTTAAGTGTAATGACCTACGTTTGATGAATTCATCCAAACTTTGGCAAATTCCGTGACTCCATCCGCGTTTTGGAAATCATAGGGCCCTATCATTTGTATAGAACATCTAGATTATTATAATTCATTCCCATTTAAAGAGTTAGTTCACCCAAAAATGAAAATTAGCCCATGTTTTACTCACCCTCAAAGCATCCCAGGTGTACATGACTTTCTTCTTTCAGACGAATATACACCGTATATTCGTCTGAAAGAAGAAAGTCATGTACACCTAGGATGCTTTGAGGGTGAGTAAAACATGGGCTAATTTTCATTTTTGGGTGAACTAACCCTTTAAGATGATTATATAAATCATATTTATAAATGAGATCTCTGGACTTGCTTCAAGTCATCAGTACACCAGTGTTATTTTAGTATCACTGATATACTATGAGTTTTGTTGTATAATAATATTTTATTAGTTTTAATTTATTTGTATCTACTATTGTTTTTATTTCTTTTCGGTTTTCATTTTAATTTTAGTTAAAGTTGTATTCACTGTGTTGTGTTTTTGCCATTTGTATTAGTTTTCTTTAATGTCTAAATAGTTTTTATTAAGTTTTAGTTTTTGGTTACAAAACAAAACAAAAAATGAAATATGTTCCCTTGGCAACTAGCTGAAATAGAGTTTTTTAATGTTTTTACTTTGCAGTTGATAATATCTGTGGAAAATTGTATTTCCCAGGAAAAAAAAAATCAATCTTTCTCACAATTTCAAATAGAATATATAATAAATATTATAATCAATTATTTCATGGCCCCCAGAATATATTGTTGTATGAATATCTGAACATGCAATACATCAAAATAAAGAACTGACCCTTCAAAAGGGGTCATTGGATGCCCATTTTCCACAAGTTAATATGATTCTTTAGAGTCTTAATGAAAAGTTAATGACGACTGCTGTTCATTATTACATCCAACAACAGAACACCTCAAGCGCTTAGGAGTCATTCTTGTCTACATCTGCTCCGGCGGTGAAACAATGGCGGACTGATGACAGTCACTCAGGGCGGAGCTAAGGTAAGACACCAGTCCAGTCTGTGCTGAAACGCTACTGTCAATCAAACTATCGTGGGAGGGGCCTGTGAGGCCATCTGAGATCGGCTCAATTTGAGAAAGGGGTAAAGATTTTAGTAGATTAAAAAAAAAACCCACTGGGTGGATTTGTATCATTATAGGGTGGTTGTGTACACACACTGCCAACACACATTTCAGTTCAAACAACTTGGAAAAGTGCATGTAGCATCCTATGACCCCCTTTGAAAAAAAAAAAAAATCTGTTTTATTCTAGCTTCAAACATTCTTTTTTTATCAACACTTGATTGTAGGTAGGTTTCATAAAAATGCAACATTTTGAGCAAAAAGCTGAGAAAATCGCATTTTATCAAATGCTACATCTGGATCATATTCAGTACGAAGATCAAAGCAAAGATGCAGTAGATGGCTTCTATCAGCACTCCCAAAGCTCGCACAGTCTTTCACCATTTCCTAGATCCACATTTCGCTCGGTAGCATTAGGCAGTTTTCATTCATATGCGGTTAGTGTTGATGATCGCATTATTTTTCATATGCATATGCTTACATATGAGACCTTTCTCGTCTGTGCTTTTGATTGAGTGATTCTAGACTCATTAATGAGATGCATAATAGCGCCCCCTAGCGTATAACAGCGAGAACGTGAAAACCCAGAAGATTCAGTGATGGCGGGGAAAGAGTTAATATAAATTACCCCTACATAACTGACTGTAATTAGCTACATTGTGTTAGCTTGAAGGATAATTAACTATGTTTGACTATTTTAACTACTTTAAATTAAAAGCAGTTTGGCAAGTAGCATCACCAACTGCACCATGAAATTTGTGTCATTTACATGTTGCAATCATTCTGTTAAAAACAAGATTCTAGCAGAAAAAAATTATAAGAAAAAAATTAAATGTTCATATTTTCTTGTGAAATAAATGAACTCTTTAATTCATGCGTATGCAGGGAGGGCCGGAGGGGCGGGGCTTGGCTGGACACGCCCAGAATTGGCGGGTAAAGTGGGCCGACTGGTATAGTACGGCTGAAATGAGAGAAAAACACAGACACTCGACTTTTTAAGCTATATTATTATCAAATATTGGATTCAGTCTTTATATTTCAGCAGAAATTAACCTGAATGAATAGGGCTGGGTAAAAAAAAATATATCGATACCTCGATTTTAATCGATTCTCATTTTTATGAAATGATATCGATTCATAAATCCCAAGAATCGATTAGTCTAGCCTGTTTCGATTCTCGATATTAATCGATTCTCATTTTTACGGAACGATATCGATTCTTAAATCCCAAGAATCGATCAGTCTAGCCTGTTTTCAGTTACTGGACGGAACATTGAAGGCACCTCCCATCCAATTAATCGCAATAAGCATTGTGCTTTGGTACTTTTAAAATGAAACAAAGTCTCAGATTTCAAATTCTGTGCATTGTATTGCAGTACTCGCTGTTTAATGTGGAGTGACAGATCTCTGTAGTGCCTCACGTGAACTGATCATCTCCCCCACTTTAATACTAGTTATAGCACAAAATAAACATGACTAAACATCCGAAGGTAAGTTAAAAGAAAGAGTACAACTTTCTCATGTAACATTAATCGCTCAATCAGTGTTTCAGCCGCGCAAAGACGTCAATATAACGGCTTGTAAACAATATGTCACGTAACGTCACATTTACCTCAGAAAAAACATATTCGGTGACCATTAACTTGTTAGTCAGATAGAAAAATAAACTTGAGAGCGGGGCATTTTGCTAAATATATGCACCATATAACATATTCATTCTAATTTTTACTGTTCTTCAATGTTTAATTTACATTTTTTTATGACAGCCACCATTTTAATGTGTATATATATATAAAAAAAACGAATTGAAGTAGAAATATTATTATGTAATTGTAACTTTTATTATAAAAACTTCATTAAGTGTAATTTAAGCAGTTGTATAGCCTAAAAA